AAGCAACCCTGAAATAGATAAATGGACTTCATGAAAATAAAAAATCTTTCATGCTTCCCAGGACTCTGCCAAGGAAGTTAAAAGATAATCCACATAATGGGAGAACTATTTGCAAATCACATGCCTGACAAGGGTCTAGTATCTAGAGTATACAAACAGTGCCTATAACTGAGCAAAAAAGACAAATTACCCAATTTAACAATGGGAGAAAAGGTTTGAATAGACATTCCTATAAAGGATACATACAAATGACCAAAAAGCAGATCAAAGATGTTCAATGTTTTTCATCATTAGGAAAATATAAGCTTAAAATTAGATACCACATCAGACCCACTAGTATGACTTTACAAAAAAGACAACATATGTTTGGAAGGTTATGGAGAAAATGGAATTCTCATATATTGCTAGTGGGAATATAAAATGGTGTAGCCACTGAGATAGGAAAACGGTCTGTCGATTCCTCAAAAACTGAAACATAAAGTCACATATGAGGCAGCAATTGCACTCCTAGGTATATCACCAAGAAAACTGAAAACAGATTTCCACTCAAAAATATGTGCAAAGATGTTCATAGCAACATTATTTATAATAGTGAAAGAGTGGAAACATCCCAAACTGCCATCAGTTGATGAACAGATAAACAAAATGTGGTATAACTATAAAGTGCAATATCATTTGGCCATTAAAAGGATTGAAGTACTAATGCATGCTACAACAAGGATGAACCTTGAGAACATTGTGCCACATAAGAGCTGCAGATGTAAAGGCTGCGTTGCATTATTCCACATACAGGAAATGACCAGAACAAGTATATCTAGAGAGAGAGAAGGTAGATAAGTGGTTGTCAAGGACTGCAAAAATGGTGGAATTGGAGAGTGACTGCCAATAAGGATAGGCATGCTTTTTGGCATTACAAAAGTATTCTGGAATTAGGTACTGGTAATGGTTACAAAACCTTTGGAATATGCTGAATAGTATGCTTAAAAATGGTGAATTTTGTGATATAGGAATTGTACTTTAGAAGATTATACTTCAGAAGTAATAATTATAACAGTAATAAAGTGAGGTATCTTTTTACATCTCCATGCCCCGTATTTTTATTTTTATTTTTTAAAAATAGCATTTTAGGGCCATATTCAGTGTCTTGCTCCTGTAATCCCAGCCCTATTGGAGGCCTAGGTGGGAGGATTGCTTGAGGCCAGAAGTTTGAGACTAGCCTGAGCAACACAGCAAGACCTTATCTTTACAAAAACTTAAAAAATTAGTCGGGAATGGTGATGTGTGCCTAGAGTTCCAGCTACTTTGGATGTTCAGAGAGGAGGATCGCTTGAGCCAAGTAGTTTGATGTTGCAGTGAGCCCTAATCACCACTGCATTTCAGCCTGCACGACAGAATGAGACCCTGTCTCAAAAAGAGTCATCTTAGAGTAATAGTAAATGGCCAGAATAGGATGTTGATAGCATGTTGTGAGGAAATGTATTAGACAAAACAAATTAAATTCAAAAAGGTTTTTTTTTTTGGCAGAAATGAGGTGCAGGGGAGAGAAACAGCTACTTGGAAAGAACCCACACAACTGAATTGGAAAATGTGAGAAGGGGTTGTGCAAGAGGAGCTCTACCTGAGATCTGGCTCCAGTACTTACAGCAAAGGGAACTTGGGCAAGTTACAGACCCTCTGTGCCTTGGTTACATCACCAGCAAAACAGAAAGAATCATCCCATAAACTGTAAGGTTCACGGTATCAGAGGGTCCCCAAACTGACTGTACATCTAAGTCATGTTAATAAGCAACTTCCAGGCCCCACCTGAGCCTGGAGGTGGGGGACAATAAACTTGTATTATCACTAACCTTCCCAGGTGTTTCTTACTCTGATCAGCTTGGGGTTAGGAACCACTGAGCTGCATCACATCATTCCAAAGCCAAAACACAAAAGTAGAGCAAGAATATTTTCAATACAGTCTCTAAAACTCAGGAGAAACTGCTGGGGGAAGCTAGAAGTGAAGGAAACCCTGCATGCTGGGCTCTTCTTAACCTTAGCCTCAGTACAGCAGAGACAGGAGTCCCTCGGGACACATGCCTCAGGCAATGACAGTCGAGTATTGAAAGAGTGGAAGCCCTAGTTTCAAATTCAAGCTTGCTTTGAGTTGAAATTCAGTTTACCTCTTTTGGCACAGCAACAGGGCCAATCTTCTGCAAACTGCTCACCTTACAAGAAAAAAAAATCATACTTCAAACTAAGATTCAAACTTCAGCAGACATGAGTAAGTAAAAAAGTCTTATAAATCTATTCCAGCCACGTAACAAGAAACCAGGCATTTAGCAAGTTCTTTCATGTTCAGGACATTTGTGTTCACTAGATCAGAGGTGCTGAGACATGAAGAAAAGACCCCCTAAAAAGGGAAAGCATTCCTTCCTGTCCTAGGACATCACAGCCAACCTCAGAAAAGTGGGAACCCAGCTCTCCGCTCTGCAGTGTGAGTTGCTTTTGTATCTGGAATGTGTCTGACATCCTGAGACCTGGACCCATTTCAGGGAGCTTTGGGAGGAGCGTGAATCACTGGGAATTGAACAGAATGTGGAGATGGTTCAGCAGGACGTGGGTAAGTGGAGGAGCACGGCCAGGTCACACTGAGAGACAATGAGCAACACTGAGAGACAATGAGCAGCGCTGATGGGGATAATCAAAGATTAAAAACAAACGTTTGTGCTTCCCTTCAGAAACTGAAACCAATAACTAATTTGCTCTTATAAGTAATAACAAGTATTTTCCTATTTACATAAGAATTTAATCTCAAAATAGAAATTAGAAAAAATATTAAGTCCAAGACATAAAACTTAAACTACAGCTGAAATTTATTCTAAATAGAGCCAAGAGTAAAATCTTCTCCATAAAATATATATCATGGTTATAAAAAGGCCAAAGTTTTAATGATAATTATTGCTATTCATTAGAAGAGTGAATTAAATAGAGTCAAGGGCAGGCCCAAGTCTCATACTTCTTTTGTATATTCCAAAGTTCCAGTGAAATTCCAGGTGATAGAGACTATTTCCTGCACTGTTAATGCAAGGTGCAGACACTTGTGAATTTTGGTCCCAATACTCTAGGAGGACACACCTAGGTCCTGGAAAATGATACAAGAATGAATATTCGTCTCATGACTCATTCTGGTCATTCTAACGAAACCACAGAAACAAAAACATGGAACTATGGTCAAATACATGATTTGCTATCCCTCTTCTTCAGGTTTTTTTACCTGTTTCTTACAGATAATAACATGGCCTTAAGGATTATGATGAAAATATGATATCCAACTATGTGTACACTTTTAAACAAAATGCCTAGAACAAATTGGAAATTAATAATTATGGAATAATTATGTGAATCTACTGAATTATATGGATTTTATGAACAATTTCTGAATAATTATTGATTGCTTTTATTGGCAGTGCTCAAAACTCACTGCTGGGTGACCTCAAGTAAGCCATGTAACTTTGTGAACCTGCAGTTTCATCATTTGTAAAATGAAGAAACTTGAGAGCTTTTCATTCTGGCAGAGAATGTCAGGTCTCCCAGACACCAGAAAATAGATGTATTTACAGCCTCTGATACATCTCAAAGCACTGTCATTACACAGTGTAGCTGGAGGATGGTGCAGGCTGCTGAGAGGCAGGTTTTCAAATGGGATTGACCCAGTCCTCCTTCCTTCACTTCTACCTGAATGCTGGGTAGCCTATGTAACACTCATCACACCTTCAACTCACGCAAGTCCAGCAGCCAAACTTAAGAGACCTGGGCTACGGGACAATCTCCCAAGTCCTAGCCTCACAAAATCTAGGTGAGGAAAAAAGCTGAGGAAGTGAGGAGGTGATTCGCTACTCATGCCTCTCATCCCAAACTCAGCTTCTACTGCACAGGAACACTGAGGATCATCAACCACCCCGACTGTGCCCATGGTCTTTCCAGGTTGGTAGTGGAAGGCAACAACACATCAATGGTGTTAGATCGTATGTGTATATGGACATGTCCAACAATATTCCATAAGAAGTGTTCATGGCCCTGTTCCTTTTCCTTTCAATACATGGGAAAACTAAATGAAAACAACAAAATAGCATCAGGTTTACAAGACTTCCCAAAATATATGTTCAAACATGTTTTCAGGGGCTATACACAAATGATTTTGATCATTTGATACCTTGAAAAGAGCTCTTATGGGACGAGAATAATATTGGTAAGTGACAAGTATAAAACAAGTGTTCAGTGACATTAAGGAAACAAATCAACCTGCAGATAGAGGTAGAGCTTTGCACATAGGGTTGTGAACTGGTCTTAAGTGTAATGAAAAGCCAAGATGCTGCCTTAGTCAGAGAAAAGAAATCAACATAATAATGGGATGCAGCCAGGAAAATACTGAGCCAGGGGAAAAATATTTTAAAAAATAAATTATTGATGAACTTTTTCAGAAAAAAAAATTGTAGAACCCAGAAGATACCATGGTAGTTTAAAAGTTTAATATCTTTCATTTGTGGAAAAGCCTTAAGATCTATTTTAACTTAGAGAAGGTGGGGTAACTTCCTGACTACCACTAAGAAAACGTAACCATTTGGGAAACTATCTCTACCTCGACGATTTTATACACACACGAGATGAACTGCGAGGAATATGCTTAGATGTGTTGAGAAAGAAGTGAGTCTATAGCATTGTCACAAGGGTGCACAGTTACTGAGAGTGACTGGTGAAGAAATGGTCCCCATCAGTGACTGTCGGGTGAGACCAGGGGACTTTGGGTTTCAACACAGCTGGGCAATTGGAACGCAGGGCTCCGAAGATTCCATGACACCCCCACCTTCTAATTCTGTTATTGCAACTGCAGACGGTTACCTGGCACGCTGGCTGCTACCCACCTCACTCTTGTCAGAGGCAGAGCTACAGGCAGTGCCTTCGACTCTGAGCTCAGGCATCCTAAACACTTTTTTTTCGGTTAAGGACTCTGAACGACTGTGTTTTGTGGATCAAGTTCTTCTCAAACGTAAGTCAACAATTCCAGCTGTTGTCATTCCTCAGTCCTGAATAAACCTAGTTGATTTCACTAGTTTTTGACCCATCATGTGCTTGGGTTTCTTCTCCCCAGTCCCTGTTTGAACTTTTCTGCCGCAAATGTCGGCATGGTGGTGGTAACTGCCATACATTTGCCCCATGACAGGGCAGAGATGAAAATCAACCAGGAATTGCGCTCCCAGCTGGCAGAGAGCCAACAGCAGTTCGAAGACCTCAAGGAGAAATTTCTTATAAGTCAAGCTACTGCCTACTCTCTGGCTAAACAACTGAAGAAATACAGTAAGTTCTATAGATTCACCATCACGAAAGTGATGAATCAGCACCTGTCTTCTCTCTGAGATACTGAACGGTCTCTTCATCAGAATTAATTTCATCCTTTCCTTAGTTCTAGGAAAACAGAAATGGGTATTTTAACTTGATTGTGTTAAGGATGGAAAACAGAGGCACAACGTACTTAGCAACTGTTCCACGTTAGCAGTCCGATGTGCGGTGGGACTAGAGTTAAAATCCTGCCTACTGACCTCTGACTCAGGCACAGACCCACTTGCTTTTCTCAGCAAGATGCTCAGTCATGTTTACAAGAATGCTCTCTGTACCCTAGAAGATCCTGCAGACAAATAACATCTAGTCCGTTGGTCCAAGTGCCTGGAACTTATGAACTGCCATTCAGTTTAAGCTTCTTTGAGGCCCTATAGGCAAATCTCTCTTCAGGGAACCCCGGGGGAAACATGGAGACAGTACAGAGTACCTGCTCTAAGGAGCTTAAAGAGGAGGCTGCTCCTAATAGTAATGGTGTCATTCATAAGTGACAGCATGAAAAGCAGGGAGTACCTTGGTGAGAGGGAAGTCCTGCGTCCTGGGGTACAGGCTCTTATCCTAAAGAGGAAGAAAGATGGCACATAAGACATTGTGGAGGTAGCAGTGCTGTGTGCAGAGCAGGGAGCCTGGGCCGGTCTCCTGAGCTCCATCCAAGTTGCCTGTCTTCTCTGTGCCTCAGTTTCCTCATCTGTTCATTGCATACTATAATAATACCTACCTCTGTAAATTGCTGCAAGAATTACATGACCTGTTTCTTCTAATTCTCCTAGAACAATTCTTGGCACAGAGTAAACACTATTAGTTCTTCAGTCTACTGTTTCTAACTTAATCCAAATTTTATTAGTATTTGGTCATATTTCTATGATGATCTCAGGGTCTTATGCCTCATATTTTATATAATTATATTCAGATATGATTTTTTAAAATCTTTGACATATTTGTGCTTGAAATTCCCAGTACCAGAGAATCCATGAGTCCCATAGTCCTAACGGCCTTTCCTACTGTACAGGATATCACTACTTCATGCCCTAGTAGAGTGTTTGACAGGAGAGGCTGCAAGGCTTGGGAAAGTGTCCCACGATTCAGAGTCAGATCTCAGGGGCTGTGAATTCTGACTCTGCCTCATTCCAGGTGAATCATCCTGTCAAGTGACTTGATGTGCCATTGAGCTTCTTTTTCCCCATCTCTAAGATGGAGAGTATCAAATGCCAGAAAGTTGGGAGGTTGACAATTAAAAATGAGGAAATTCCTCACTACAGTCTGGTACTGGGGATGCTTTTGTCCTTGGGACAGACACTGCCACCTGCCCTGTAGGCAGTGACCACACCAGCATGTCCAGCCTTCCACTGAGGCAGGCGTGACTGTCTTTTCTCAGAGCGTGAAGAGGACAAAGACATCATAGACTCTGTGCTGAGGAATGAAGTGCAGTTCATAGAGGAGAAGCTGGCAGAGAAGCTCAGGCAAGCTGAGGAGCTCAGGTGAGCAGACGCTGTGGGGACAGGCAGGTGGGCAGGGGTGTGATCTCTGAAGTGCAGCAGTTCAGCTGGGAGAACTAAGAGCTAAGCTGGGCCAGGACAAGGGCAGGCATTTACCTGCCAGGCACATTTCACACAAATATTCATAAAGCAGAACAGTAATCTTAGCAAGTTATGGGTTACAGTTGTTTCTTGAGCTTTGATTTCTCTTTTTAAAACAACTAATTGTTGAATTGAAATTTGCATAACCAAAGTTCATTAAAAGAAAACGAACCACCCAGCAGCATTTAATACCCTCAAAATGGTGTGTGATCACCACCCCATTTTCTCTTAGTCAGAGTCACCTCCTGACTGACTGCAGCAACTCATTCATTCAATCAATATTGCCTTCTTGACCTGTCATTCTTTTCTTCTTTCATCTTTCCAATTCACCCCATCTGCACCTGGCCACGTTTCTGTGCATGGCTTGTTTCCAGTCACTGCAAGATTCACTATGTGAATTTTCACATTGAAATGTCCATGGCCAAAATGAGGAACTGAAAAGACATCCCTTTAAAATCGATTTAGGAAGGCACTGACTTTGGTTTACAGAAGAAAAAAAATGAATGGAACATCTTAAAGGATCTTATAGGAGCTCTCTCTGATACAGAGAAAGCCTCTAGTTAAATATATATTTGATATCTGTATATTATAAATAGAGAGATATAATTTTTTTTCTTTTTTTCTGAGATGGAGTCTCATTTCTGTCACCCAGGCTGGAGTGCAGTTACACAATCTCAGCTAACTGCAACATCTGCCTCCAGGGTTCAAGAAATTCTCCTGTCTCAGCCTCCCAAGTAGCTGGGACTACAGGCATGCTCCACCATGCCTGGGTAATTTTTGTATTTTTAGTAGAGGCAGGGTTTCACCATGTTGGTCAGGCTGGGTTTGAAGTCCTGACATCCGTTAATCTGCCCGCCTCAGCCTCCCAAAGTGCTAGGATTACAGACGTGAGCCACCAAGCCCTGCCTAAAAAAACGTGTGTATATCCCCAAACATGTTGTGACCTTCTGCTTGGAGGGCTCCATGAGGACATTCTCACATAAACCTCCGTTGCAGTATTAGAACTGATCACTCACCCCTTTCCGTTATTAAACGTTCTCTGCTATCTCACCGTAGGCAATATAAAGCCCTGGTTCACTCTCAGGCAAAAGAGCTGACCCAGTTACGGGAGAAGTTACGGGAAGGGAGAGATGCCTCCCGCTCACTGAATCAACATTTCAAGGCCCTTCTCACTCCTGATGACCCTAACAAGTCCCAGGGTCAGGACCTCCGAGAGCAGCTGGCTGAGGGGCACAGGCTGGCAGAGCGTCTTGTCAACAAGCTCAGCCCAGCTAAGGTGGACACAGGCCCTGATAACACACACACCCAGGTTTATCAAAGTCCCCAGACCTCCACACCTCCACAATGACAATTTTATGGGTAATGTTTCTTTCCACTGAAAATTTGTAGCCACGACATGACCAGGACTTCCTGGGTAAAAACAGAGATGGGAAACTCATGGGGTTGGAGGTCACAGTATTGCAAATGTCCCCTCATTTCTTACTGGAATGTGGTCTTTGAGGCAAAAGGCAGCATCTGTCCAGTTTTAAAGGACAGGAAGGAGGCTGTGACAGGAGGCAGCTTGTTAGAGTAAAAAGAGCCCTGGACTAAGAATGAAGGTTCCCAGGCTCTATCTTCAGCAATGTCTTTAGCAACTGTGAGGAACTGATTAATTCATCCTTCCTTAGTTCCTGTCTCTAAATCTGTAAAGGCAGGCAAACTATCTCTTGCATTCAAATGTGGGAACACTTACGACTATATTTCACAATGAGATAAAGCCCCTCGCTGTTTGGTGTTGGAGAAGGTACTTAATGTGGGGACATTTGGTAGTAGGAAGTGATCTAGACTGGAACTCCCCATGGAGAGAGTGTCCCTGGATAGCACAGTGGAAGTCTCTTGGAGCGCCCATGAAGTCCCGATGTATGGAGTATTGTGGGACAAGTTTGTTTGTCCTGTCCTAAGAGAAAGATACAGGTTTTAATGCAAGCTGTGACAGGACACAGAGCCTGTGCCTGGGTATCAGGACCGTGGCAGGATTGGGGAGATAGCTGCTGAAGCTTAGAGAGAGGCTGGACAAGCCTCTAGCAATATGGGGAGCAAGGAGTCTTTTCAATATTTGGCCACAAATTGATGGTGGCCCTCCAGTTCAGAAACACGTTCCCTCATGGATCAGGAGAACATGCCAGGGCATTTTTTAGAGATAAACAGTAGAGTTTTCAGTACAACGCAGACCCATACATGGATGCTCATGTCTCAGTGCACATAGGGCTAACTGTGCTTCCAGTGGGTGAAGTGGGAAATTTCTGAATAGACACTTCTGTATTTCCAGAAAATGATGAAGATGAGGATGAAGATGTTACAGATGAGGAGACTGAGAACATACAGGAATCACCTGCTCCCAGGTAACACTAAATAGTCAGGAGTGGGTAATGGGTGGTAAAATATGAAAAAGGTCTCAGAAGGAACACAGGTAGGTAAAGGTAGTCACAGATTCCAGATGCAGGATACAGATAGCTGCAGAGTGCACTGATTTCATGAATTAACCAATAAGGAAATAGCACTGTTAACATGCTTGTCCATTGTCTTCATGGTACCTGTAAGCATGACCCTCGATGAACTCACTAGCCTTAGGGACTTCCTGCACACACACAGGAGACCTGTCCTCCCCTGTATTGAAAGCCAGGAGGAGATTCAAAGCCACTTTCTACACGGTTATCTTTAGACTCTTGATAGGGAAGATAAATAGCAAGGAGGCAAACAGCAGAGAAATTAGGAACACCTAGCAAAGTTAAACACTAAGAAAAATACCTAGAAAATATTTACATTTCACATCACATTGTTAAAATTTTTTTAAAAATCTAGAAGGCACACCATCTCTGGAGTCTACCATGGCTCAGACACCTGTATTCCCTTGGCCACAGTATGTTAAACGCAATCCAGCTTAATACACATGACGTGGCAGCTGTTTTTGGTTCTGTGTGTGTGCTCTCAAGACTGTACCATACAGAAGCAGCTGAATCTCTGTCTTCTTCAGCTCCTATCTGTCCAGTGCAATGAACACCAGCTGCTCTCTTCCTCTCTGGTTCCCATGGCAGCCATGCTCTATTGCAGATAGAGGAGGATTGCCTGTTCCCTCTTAAACGGAACCTCCCCTTTGCTTTCTGGGACCACTACCTTATGCCTCCCGTCAAAACCAGCTGGGAATTCCTGGGGCCCAATCCCTCTTGGTTTAATCTTTGTCATCTCTGTCCTACCTGGCTCATCAGGGAGGTGCAGAAGGCTGAGGAAAAGGAAGTCCCTCAGGATTCACTGGAGGAATGTGCTGCCACTTGCTCAAATAGCTACGGCGCTTCTGACTTCAACCAGCCTCACAGGAGTGCCAAAGTCACATTTGAGGGAGACAAAGTCGACTCTGCTCTGGTTGTAGACAGTGAATGCACTCAGGATGAAGGGGAGGAAGCTCTAAACATTCTCCCAGGTAGCCTGTATATTCTTTATCCCTCGTACCTCTGTCTAGGCCGAGGAAGATCAATTCTGAGGATGGGCTGTATACATACACATTGGTTTGAATCAGAAACTAGGATGAAGCTGGGGGCAGTGCCTCACATCTGTAATTTCAGCACTTTGGGAGGTCCAGGTGGGTGGATTACTTGAGTTTGGGAGTTCAAGACCAGCTTGGGAAATCTGGTGAAATCCATCTTTACAAAGAATATAAAAAATTACCCAGGCCTGGTGGTGCATACCTGTAGTCCCAACTATTCATAAGACTGAGGTAGGAGAATCATCTGAGCACAGGAAGTTGAAACTGCAGTGAGTCATGACCGCACCACTGCACTCCACCCTGGGTGACAGAGAGAAACCCTGTCTCAAAAAAAAAAAAAAAAAAAAAAAGGAAAAAGAAAAAAAGAAAGGACGGGAGGGAGGGAGGACTAGGATGGAATGTTAAATACAGATATCAGTGGCTCCGATGGCTTTCCACTTCTCCCTGGCCCCAATATCGGGTTACTGGACCACAAGCAGGTGTGACTAATTCATAGCCACCTGTGTACAGGAGCTGTACGGGAGATATCTGTCAGGCCTCCTAGCTCAGTTCCTATGTCTCTTGTCCCCTGTAATGATGTAATTTGTGCCCCTGCACAATGTCCACGGAGTTTCTATGCTTGTCCACGGCCACTGACAGCCTCGCCTGTGTATTTGGCGATGTTGTTTCCCTGATTTCACTCTTCTCGGCTTCAGTCTTGGTCTCCTTTGAGTCAGATTGTCTTAGCTATGCAGTCACCTTGATACCAGGAGGTATATAAATAAAATTTATCTTACAATTCATCGACCAGGATATACGATGAGATAAATCAGTGTTCCAGCAATACTTCTGGAGAGTAGTTAGGACCATTTTTGAAGATCATGGGAAAAAAAATTTGTTAAATTGTTTGCACAGACTTAGGTCAGAAAATATGGGATTATGATATTAGATGAGGGAGATTCTGTCCCATGGGTCTGGAAAGCAGGCTCATCTACTTCTGACAAGGCTTCATCTAGAGCACGTTAGAACCTTCCTGTCAGAATATCACATTCTTACACTGAGGATATTTATCTCCTTGTGCTATGACTGGACACTGATTTGGTCTTGTTGAAGTGTGATTTGCTTACTGTGACTTGCTCTCCTAAATTTCTTTACAGGAAACCAAAATGATCATTAGGAAGAGGAAGGAAAAGTGCCAGTGCCCCCCAGGTAACTGTGGATTTGTGGGCTGTTAGCTCAATAGTGACACCTGGAGACTAGGGATCCAGGGAAAATAGGACAGGAAGTGATGAATAGAACTGTGTCATCCATTCATCCAAAAATTCCCTCTCAAGCATAGGAATGGACAATCAGTTGAGCCAGGTGAACTGACCAAACTCAGGGATTTCCTGACCTCACCTGATGTCTGCCTCTTTGGCATTATCACCATGTTTACAAGTATTTAATAGCAGGAGAGTGAGTGAAAATAACTCACATCCTGCTCACAGTTTTGAGAACAAGTGATGTTGAGGAAACAGGAACTCTTTCTGTGAAGATTCAAGAACCTGTATTCATTTGGCCTCTGATGCTAATGTCAACAAACTGTATGCAGAAGTGCTGAATGCACTGTGTCCTGGCAGTTTCCCACAGGGATCCTCCATCTCCTTCCTCCCCAGCTCATTGTCTGCCCAGTGCACTGAGCACCTGCCGCTCTGTCTCCTGCTCGAGACAGGGAAGGATGGTTATGTCTTTCTGAGGGGACTGTACAAGGCTTCCTCTGGCCCCTCCTGTGGTCCTCCCTGTAGAACCAGCTGGGCGCAGTGGTTTTGCTTCTCTCCAGTGTTTATCTTCTGTCTTCTTTCCTCCAGGCTGAGCCGGGAGCTGCCAAAGGTAAAGGAACAGGAAGTCCCAGAGGACTCCTTGGATGAAATTTACTTGACTCCTTCAGTTCACCATGACCTGTCTGACTGCCACCAGCCTTATAGCAGCACCTTGTCTTCATTGGATGATCAGCTCACATACTCTGCTCTGGATGTAGCCTGTGAGTACTCCAGCCTGAAGATCACAAAGCTCCAGTGTCTTCCCAGGTAGTCTCCATATGTTTTGTTTCTGCAACTTGTGTAGCTGAGCCAGGCCATCAATGCAGGCAGGCCCTGTACACTGAGCCTGTTTTGAATCTGGCTCTGGGATCCAGTTTCAATCACATACATCCAGTGGGTGAACCTTCCTCTACTCCTGTCCCACGTGACTCCTCTGTCGCCTGGCTGCTTCTTGCAAGAGCAGGCTGTGGGCATAAAAACTGGAAAGGGGTTAGGGCTTTTAGCAAGTTCTTGTCCACAGTAGCTCATCTGGACATATTTGCATAACAAATCTCCTTTAAAATAGGGCATCTCTTCTTTCTGAAATTATGTTGCTAACTACATGCCTTGAACAGTGCCCTTATCTCTTCTCTGGCCATCCACACATGCAGGAAGTTTTGCACGATGATCTGGAGGCCTGTTTTATGATTCCTGTGTTTCATACTGGATTCTCTACATCACAGATTCCCAATGCAGGGGCCATCCATGGACCCTTGTGGGTCCATGACCTGTTAGAAACTAAGCCACACAGCAGGAGGTGAGCGGTGGGAGAGCATGAGCGGTGGGAGAGCATTACTGCATGAATTCCACCTCCTGTCAGATCAGCAGTGGTATTAGATTCTCACAGGAGCTGGAACCTTATTGTGAATTGTGCATGTGATGGGTCTAGGCTGTGCAATCTTCATAAGAATCTAATGCCTGATGATCTGTCACTGTCTCCCAGTGACTGTCACCCCCAGAAGGGAACATCTAGTTGCAGGTAAACAAGCTTAGGGCTCCCACTGACTCCACATTTTGGTGAGTTGTATAATTATTTCATTAGATATTGCAGTGTAATAATTATAGAAATAAAGTGCACAAAAAATGTAATGTGCTTGAATCATCCCAGTCCATCCCCGCTACCTTGTCCCTGAAATATTGTCTTCCATGGAACCAGACCCTGGTGCCAAAAAGGTAGGGAACTGCAGCTCTACTTCCTCTGATGTCTCTTCCCTCCACTGATGCAGTCTGGCATCCATTCCTTTATGCACGGCAAGGCTTGTATCCTCTGTAGAGCTACAGTGTTTTCTTCTACGTATGGGTTTCTCATTTCAATCAAGATTTGGTCTCAGTGCTATATTCTCATGAAAAACATTGAGATCTAGTGTCCCTCATGAGGTACTGGCCTAACCGATGAGAGTGGTTCCTGTCCCCATGATGTCCAGAAAACCCTTCCTCTGAGCACGGGCCTCTTGGTGTAGCAGCTTCATGGATATGTAGAGAAAACTTTCAATTTTCATTTCTTCTTGCTCATTGTGTTTCTTTAATTCCATTCTGGGAGTTTCATGTGGATTTTGGGGAGTTTCATTCATCAACTCATTTTCTAGGAAGAGCAAGGAACTCTGTGATGTACCCCAGCATATCTGTTGTAATAAAATTAACAACAATGCCAGGTGCGATGGCTTATGGCTGTAATTCCAGCACTTTGGGAGGCCAAGGCAGGTAAATTGCTTGAGCTCAAGAGTTTGAGACCAGTGTGAGCAACATCATAAAAGCATGTCTCTAGAAATATTAGCAGGGCATGGTGACAAACGCCTGTAGTCCCAGCTACTTGGGAGGCTGAGATGGAAGGATCACCTGAGCCTGGGAAATTGAGGCTGCAGTGAGCTATGATTGCACCACTGCACTCCAGCCTGAGCAACAAACTGAGACTCTGTGTCTCACACACACACAAAGAATGAAACTAGCAACAACAATGTTGGCCTCTTTTCTGTTTTGGTCAGTGAGTGCCTTTCCTGCTGGGACCATCCCCTTTCCCATTTTGTATTTCTCCCTGAATTTGAAAAAGCTAATACTTTTCTAGGATCACAGTAATTCATGAAACAAATAAAATACACATTGGCCTTGCATCTGCTGTATGCCCTTGCCCTTGCCAAACAAGCTCTGTCCTGCTATGAAACATTCAGGGCTCAAGAAATGCTCCCAAATGGGCAGTGGCATTTCCCTGTTAGAGCTGAGGACACTGGGGCTCTGGAAAATTTCCTGCACTTGCCCAGGATGTCCCAATTAGCCGTGGTGGGAACATAAGCCCCTTGTCTGCCTGACCCCATGGCCCAGTTTCTGTCATTTCTCTGTGGGGGGACCTGTCAGGTACTGAGCCACTATGGGTGCTCACCTTTTTCCTTTTGTAGAAATTATTTTGGAAGAAAGTCAAGTTGAAACAGAAAAGTTGCTGGTCTGGGATAAAGAACTCCTATAGCACCTGGCACAGACTTCTCAAGAAGGATTACCTCTGTGCACTTTGTCTGTGAGCAGAATCAGTGGCTCCTCCGGTTCCTCCAGGGGGACCTACAGCTCCCACAGGCTCTCCCTTAGAAAAGCACTCAGGGGATGAAAGTTCCTAGTCTCTCCCCACCCCCTGTCCCCAGGGTTTCGACTCTCAGCTTGGCCATGCTTGGGTCCCTGTAAATCTGTGGAGCTGCATCTCATGAACACCTCAGCCAGGATGGGGCTCCTACAATAAGAAAGGGAATTGCTCTGACACGTCTCGGAAGTGTGATGTCTGTGATGTGGGCCTGTCCTGCCAGGGCGTCAGGAGACCTGGGCCAGGAGAGGCCACATTCATGAATGCAAACGGTCCGAGATGAATGAATGTGCCCCTCAAATTACACAAGGAGGCTTCCTGTGTGTGGCTTCATGATAATAATGCGGGAATAGTGTGTATAATGCACAGCCCTGATGCCAGCAGCCATGTCAAAGTGCATCTGCTCTGCCCATCCTCTCCCTGCAGAGAAAAGCTTGGTAGATTTAGATAGAATACAACCTAAATTATCACTTGATCTTTTATCGCAGGCTTTCCCAACCTGCCCAATTAACAATGCCATAGTACATCAGAAGTTTGAAAAAATCTTTTCCCTTTTCTTCTGAAAATGCAAATATTCAAAGTATAAGTTTAATAAGACTCAGTAGTCTAGAAAAGAGGGATAAAGTGACGTGAGAAAATTAAGTAGTGAGAATCAAAGACATTCACAGAGCTTGATTCTAAATAGCAAGTGCAGAGAATCAGAAAGGGAGAGATGTGTTTGCCCAGCCTTCATCAGCCAGGTTTGTTGTTTCAGGATGTTTTCCTCATTTGCTCAATGTGAGGTATCTTGAAATGTGAGAGTGTCCTAAGTGGCTGAGGGTTAATCATCAGTAAAATGTGCCCTGAGCAACTAGGGATGCCAAACCTGGCTGAGACAATGGCTCCTGGACAAAGACCACAAAGCTGGATGGCACCTGGTGCAGAGAGGAGCCCTGCAGCAATGTGGATCCGGCCCTGCGGGCGCCATCCCTATCCTAAGCCAGACATGGACTGGCATGAGGTCATTGGGAGACTTTCCTTAGTCCACTCTGAGAATGTGCATTCCTCTCCCTGTGGAAATAGAAATTATTTGTCTTCCTGAACCCCACTGAAGGAGTGGGTAATGTGAGGACTGTGCCCTGTGTTACCTTCCTAAGGAACTGCACGTGCTGATCTGCAGCTCTTATGGCTTCTGAATTTCCCCCAAGGGAGTGGTCTGTCTACTACATTGCCTATGGCTGCTGACACCCGCTCTATGGCAATAGGTTAGAGATGTGTGGGCGGGGGTTAAACCATTATAGGCAATGGCAAATTCAAAACATCCCAGATCCCTGAAAAGTTTGCTTCACTTAGTGTTTGGTCTTCCTCATGGTTCTTTCTCAAAGCCTCGTGGCTCTAACTCTTGCCCTGTTCTTATACACCTGTGTTGTGGAGAACAGCTCCTCCTCTCCTACGCTCTGAGGGCTCTCTAGAACTTTCCTTCTTGGCACAGGAAAGAGATTAATAATGGCAGACTAAGTATCATGACCTTGTTAGCCAATCCAACGTTCTCTGGGCTGAAGAAGGGGTTTTTCACTTCAGGGACACCCCAGCCCTGGAACTCCAGCCCACGTCAGTATCCCCAGACACAGACAGGAAAGGTGACGTCACCTACATTGACGTGATATGTGTCTGTGTGGCCTGGGTCACTGGGTGGCTTTACTGAGAGGCAGGGACAGCAGCGATGGGTGTTCTGGGTGTGCTTCACAAAGGGAAAACTGAGATTGTTCCTACTGAAGCCCCTTCTCCTTTCAGCTCCCACCCAGGAGGCCTGTGCCCAAGGGACTTGCAGTGGAGACTGGAGCTACCGCTTGGCAGAGGTGCAGGCTTCACAGACACAGCTGGAGCCAAGCACCCTGATGACCAGTTGTCTGCAACTACAGCTGGATCAAGGGTTCGACTGCGGGAATGGCTTAGCCAGGCTGGGCCTTTCCTCCACCACCTGCAGCTTCACAGCCAATGCTGATTCTGGGACCCAATGTCCCTTTCAAGGTAGGGAAGGAAAGGGGAATAAGAAGGTCTAGTCCAGGTGTTGGTGGTCACGGTGCTGTGGGTAGAGGGGAGAATGGGAACTCTCCGTGCCCACTCAGGGTCAAGTTGAAATCCATGATGCTCCAACCCAGTGAGGTGAGCTAGAGCCTGGGGCTTAGGACAAAATCTGCTCTCAGGTCCTGGTTTGCCTCTTTCTGGTTGTTCACTTTGGCCAAAGATTTTGTCTTTTTGGAGTGTAAATCTCTGTTTCCTCATTGCAGCTACCTAAAAAATAATATCTACCTGTCATCATTGTTGAGAGTATTAATTATTATAATTTCCAACGGGCCTTATTCAATAACAATTGCTCAATAAACCTATAAATAGCTGTTACCTAATCCATTTGTCTTCTGCCAAATTTACATTTAGAAAGTGACTTCACAGACTATGGCTTCTCTGAGGTAGAGCAATTGCGAAGCTCTCTGTTTTCTAGAGACCCCTCTTCCTTTCCTTTCTCACACACACTCCTCTGCCAGTTTTCTTCCTCTCCTTCCCCATCCCTCATGAAGCCAATTTCCACTATCAGGAACTTTCAGTAACAACCTATGAGGTACATTCAGTAACAGTGTAAATCCTGGGACCACAAGTCAGTTTCTTCTCCTGTTTGTTCTGCTCTTTTTAAAAACAAAGGGCAACTTTCACATGAAAAGTGTTCACATCAGTGTCTTTTATGAACCTCCATTTAGTTCATCACCTCCACTCATGTCCATGGCCATGTCCTCAGTTTCCATCTCACAGGGATCCACTTCTGCTCAGATTTTTTTAAAACCCTGGGTCGTGTTCATCTTCACTCTCTGTCCCACTCAGTATCTCCTCCCGGAGCCCCTGGGGCTGCCTGGTTCTCATCTGTCACGCAATGCCCTCAGCTGAGGAATGAGGGGACCCCTGTCCTCAGGAGGAGGGAGGGTCACGTGAGATAATGAGCACCATCTGGGTCCGTGGAGAGGACACATGGAAGGCGCTCAGCGGGTATCGGGAGATGCGCAGTTCCTGATACGTGCCTTGATAACTTATTTAAACTGATTTCTTCCCACCAGAATCTCCTTTGCTTCTCTATGGATTCTCACACCCCGAGCCAAGACTCACCCCAGTGGCTCAGACACACTGTCTCTTGCTCACTTTCCCTGGAGACCAGAGCCTGAACAGGCTCCAGGTAAGAGGACAGAGTGAACCCCTTTTGTCTCATTCATATTTTCCTTCAGCTGGTGATTTCTCCTGCTGTCTAACAGGTCATTTGTTTCTCTCCACACATTTTCTTTCTCATTCTTCTCATGTTTCTATTTTTTTTTCTAATTCAATAGACCAGAACAGTCATTATAACGTTACATTTAATATCTTCCAAACCTCTATGTAATATTTCTTCATTAGATTAATACATACAGATATATGCATTGATGTAATTTGTCATATAGATTATGTGTATTTGGTGTGTATGCTACATAGGGTGTATATGTACATGTAATAGATCATATAATGGTACAAATTTTGTAAATTCTCCAGGTTTAGGCTTCCCCGGTTCTTTTCTCTCATCAGCTGCTGTAACCTCTGTCTGGTCTCACCTCTGTGTCTCAAGGGCTGTCACCCTGCCAGCCCGTTCCATCCCCATCACCTGTTTGAACTCAGCTCTGATTTAACTTTCATTTTTATAACCTCTTCCCTCCTCAAAGCCCAGCCTACATACAGTGTGATTTCCTTGCTTTTGCCTTATCTACCGGAAAGCTATTTGTGTTTCTTAATCCTGTGTTTCTTGAATATTTTGGGGGGACTGAGAGTGCTTTTGCCTCCTGACATACTTGTCATTGCCGAGTAATGTAAAAAAGATCAACAAAAAAGAAAATATTAAAGTGATTCTATTGACTTCCGCTCATACTTTTGACTTTCTTGTCCAAGGCCTCATTCCTGATTTGATGTCCTTTGGGTGGAAGAGAAAGTCACAGTCAGATCAGGGGTGCCAGTGGATGCCATTGGCTGTCGTTTTATTTTCAGAGCTGGTTTTAGAGCCCTCTGCTGGGATGAAGAACCCTCCGCAGCTGGAAGACGATGCACTTGAAGGCTCAGCAGACAACACACAAGGGCGTCAAGTCATTGGCCATATTAAGCACTCAAGTGTCCTGAAACCAAAGAGTATTAAAAGAAAACTCCTGTTCAGCAAGTGGATTCCCTGGCTTTCACGCTTAGGGTGCAGAGGTAATCACATCTATGACTCTTAGCTGCACTCACTTCTTATTTCTCTCTGTCTCTGGTGGCAGCTTATTCTCCCATTGTTTTTTCTCTTCCATTTGTTCTCTCTAGTTTCTGCTATTACCTCTGTCTGGTCTTACCTCTGTGTCCTATGGGCTCCCACCCTGCCATGCCCTTTCTGTCCCCATCTCCTCTTTGCTCTCTGAACTCTGTTCTATTCCTTCTCCTTCTGCTGTCTTGAGAGTCCCTCTCGTGGCCACAGGATGGCCAGGTCTCCTTGTTCTCATCAACTGCATAGTTTAAGCTGCTGAACACAGGGTTTTTTGCCTGAAATTACACACTCTCTTGGGAAATTTACCTTTCCTCACTGCATCTCCAACTCCATTGCCTCTTTCTGCAGGGAGCATTCCTTTACTACATCATTTACACATAGGTTTTTCTCTTGAGTTGGATTTTGAGCAACTCATCTTATTCAACCCTTAATCGTCTCTTGTTCGGCTGAACGAGAAACGTGAAAACCGAGCACAAACAGCCCCACTTAGAAAACTAAACTAGAACCAGATGAGAGTTCCCTACTAGCCTGGAATCAGGTTAGTCTTCAGCCCCAGATGTGTAGCCTTGTGACAATGTAGATGGAGTTGACAGGGACTCAGTGTTCTCACCTCATGGACTCATTTGAGCTAACATTAACTGGAGGACATTTATGATCGTCTAAACTGACGTCACTCCAAAAGTACATGCAGAGGACAGGACTTCAAAACTGCATACATCATGAGGCACATCATTCTAACCTCTCTCCTTTTTATTCTCATTTCCACTTCTACAAGTCCAGTGAAGGATCTAAAATGCAACTCGGAAGAGTCTTGAGGCCAGTTTATATGAGATAGCACTTTCTAAATTAGCTTTGAGAAAAGTGACTCCACGGCCAGTTTTATGAATACACAAGATGACAGACAAGAATCTATCCACAGAACAATCTTTGCTTTGGCCCAGCCCAATTGATAAGAGAGAAATTTCACTGAAGTTGTCAGAGAGAAGACCAAAATCCTTAGAACCACTGGGAACAAAGACAATCATGAGATAAATGGGAAAGGAAAGAAACGTGGAAATTGGGTTGTTCCATTTAGTATCTTTATATCCTGCTGCCATGTAATAAACACCTGGTGAGATTTCAGTTAAGATGAATGCCTTGAACTCACACCTTGAGATTCTCACTTTCATGACCTGGAGTGTGGTTTGGGTGTCTGTAGTTTTAAAATGCTCCCACGTGATTCTAATATGTGGCAAAAGAGAAGAAGGACCACTGGTCTTCCTTGACCTCAAGTTACCAACATGGAAGTGCCCCATATGTGTAGCTAATCCAAAGGCTGAGCATCCATCAGCGTTTGATGGGACCTATATTCACCTCTCAACAGCACTGTTTGTATAGCATAGAAAAAAATCAAGCAGAAAAGCAAGAAAATTAAGAGATTAGACCTTTAGCCTCTGCTTGAAGTACACTTCCTCAATTTTGAATACAAAATAAAGTGAGAACTAGTCATTGTATTAATGCCTAATGTACAGAAATAATACTTCCCATATTACATGTAATGGAATTTAGTATATTCTTTGGCAGTTTAAAATAAAACTTCCAGTTTACATTTAACTACACAGATTTTACAGCCCACTAATTGGCTCAGCACTGCAAAGTGAACATTTCACTTTTGATCACTTAACTGTCCTTCCACAAAACCCCAAAAGAGAACTTACTGGTCTCACTCTCCTGAAGAGAATGCAATAACAAATCAAGACTGAAATTCCACAAGAGATTATATATGAATACTTCTTTATGCCAATCTTGACACTGACATGAAATATTAAAAAGTAAACTTTCCCAAAATATACTTAAGAAAAATAATAAGTAGGAGGGGAGAGCATAGTAAAACACAAACTAATCCCTTTTATTTTGTACTTCAGAGTTTTGTTGGTCTAGATATTGAGAAGATTAGATGCCTTAAGGTGTAACCAGGTGTGGAATCAACTTCCAGACAATAGGGAAAATAAGTAGGGCCATAATTACACTCCCTACTCTCTCTTTGTTAACTCCATTTTGAGTGTTTTTTTTTTTTTTAATTTTCTTTCATTCCTGAACCCCTTTCAAAGAATACTTATAATAATATTTGTTTTTTTCTTTTTTAAAAAAAGTTTAACTAACCAAACAAGCACCACAGACATCATATTTCTTTGCAAAACCTTATTCCTGTCCCAGCCAAGGTGATCCAACAGCCTATCATGACTGTTGAGACCTCCAGATTGGAACCTTTCCTCTAGCTTCCTCCAATCTTGACTGAAAGGGCCTTAGTTCATGGGTACTATTTCCTGGGCTGTGAATAGCAAGTCATTGGCCTTAGTTCAATCTTACCCTCTGTTTTAAAAGGTAGAAGTGGTCGTGGATGTTGTCTGATGTTCCTGCTGCTTCTTGTATCCAAAGTTCTTCCCATGGCCCTCCTGCTCCTCCCTAGAAGACTGGAACATGGAGTTGTAAGGGGGTGGGTTTCTCTGAAGAGGGTCCTCTCCTTCTGCAGCCCTCTATGTCTGAGCACTCATGATTGATGCTGAGACATCCTCACTGGGAGGAAAAGCCATCACTCTGCTCCAGACAGAGGGGATAAGGAGGAAAAAGACTGATGTTCCCGGCTGCTGGTTGGGCATAGGTGGGTTCCCTATATCCTGCACCCTAGACTGACTGGAAGATCAGGGAAATTCAGGGGCATTTTCTTCTTACTTGAGGATGGTGCTTTCCTTTCCAGTCAGCCGAACCCTCACCTTCAGCTCAAGTACACAGCAGATCAGTTTGCCCCTGGGATAGCAATCCCTCCAGACTCAGCCTTTGAAAGGACCTGATGAAAATGCTCATTTGATTTATCTCTCTCCCCTGCAGGTAACAAATACTGCTGGAAAGATGCAAAGAATGAAAGGATGTCACATAAAAAAAGTAGCTTTTCCACTTTATAAGAAAAAACTAAAACAGCAAATCAAGTTGAAGTCCAAATACAATGACACTGCAGGGATCTTTCACTGAGGATTGAATTTTAGATCACAGAATGCTCTTGATGATTTCAACCCACTAGGCTTGTTTGATTTGAGAAGCCATAGTCCATCCTAGTCCAATTGTGATCAATACCTGGGGAGACCAATTCCCAGACAGACAAACAGCATTGACAGGCCTTAGCCCCGCTTCTCTCAATTCCCATCCTGTAGAGAACAGAAGTCCGGAGCCACTGGCAGGAGACAGCATGTCACCCGGGACTCCGCCAGGGTAGAGTATGAACAATGCCTTGTTCTTGCCGAAAATGTTTAGCCTGAATTTCATAGAAGGTAATCCTCAGACAACTGTAGGATGTAGAACATTGAACAGGACAACTGACCTGCCTCCTTCAAACAGTCCATGTCACCACCAAGAACACAACAAAAAGGAAAAGAGATGTTTTGCGTTCAAAACGAGTAAAAAGACTATGTAGCTTATGCTTTTTTAGTCATTTTGAACCCCAAATATCTCTTCCTCTTTTTGTTGTAGTCATTAATGGTGGTGACATGGACTTGTTTGTAGAGGACAGGTCAGCTGTCTAACTCAAAGTTCTTCATTTTGAAGTCATCTGAAAATGTCCTCATGATTAAATTCAGCCTAAACATTTGGCCAGTAACACTGTGGAGTCATGCTGTGAGCTTCCTACTTCAGCCCATTTGCAGGAAGAGAAGGTCCAGTGTGTCTGTCCCCATCACCGTGATACTAGGATGGTCAGTTGGTTAAGGAGGAGTCTAGGAGCTCTGTCACTTGTAATGACATCTTATTTATAATTAATTTGGCAAGTGATTTGAAAAATTATTAATATCCTGTATTCTAGCAATCTTCCTCTGCGCATTTTACCATCAATTAATCACCCCTGCCTGTGTCAGTTCTTTATATTTATATTTTTATGTTGGAAATTGACTTTCTTAAAATTTTACTATATACTTGCTTTTGCTGGCATTCTGTCATACAAAAGAATATTCTCTGCTCGAATTTTAACTTGCATCCAAAATTAATTTTAGTCTATTAAAGCTAAAATGTTTAAGTGTTAAATCTCTTTAATTAAATTTTTTTGACTATCACTCTGGACTGGTGGATTTTTTATATGCAGTGTTTTAAGCTTTTATTTCATGATTGGTTTTCATGGATAAAGACATAGATTAATGAAAACATTCTTATTTCCCTGCTAATGTTCTAAACTCTCCCATATTTTACTCTATATTTACTATATGTAGTAGATTGTATTTACTGTATTTGTCAATGTAGTTTTCTTTGTGTGTTTGTGTGTGCATGTGTGTGGGTGAGACAGAGACTTTTGTTTGTTATTTAGGAAGGATTGTATACTTCCTGTTTAACATTGCACTAAAAAGGTTTTGACATCACTAGTCTCCTTTTAACCTTTTGAAGTTGAAATTATAACTTTCAACTTCAAATTTTTGCTAATATGAAAAAGACATTATTTTCCTCTTCTCTGACCCCTTTACCTGCCATTTCTGATAGTGTTATTTCAACCCAAATATATGCCAGTGACAGCCTATGTCTCCCACCTTGTCCCCAACTTGGCTTTTGGTTTAGATCCATTATTAAATACGTTGATGCTCATAAGTTATTCAAAAGTGCATGTCCTAGTCATCACTTACTGAGTAGCATTCATCCTTCACAATGTCCTCATGAGAGAATCACGTCTCTCTGAGTTTTGCATCCTTAAACTTTTCCCAGTGCCTTGGTACATACATTACTTCACTTGATATAAGGTATTTGCTAAAAATGATTTTTCTTGAGATTTTAGGAAATATTATCTTGCTTTAGGGGACATGCATGGTGTGTGTTCTCATTCTGGGATTCTATTTGTTCTGTCAGGACCTTTAGTTTCTGCCAGTTACTTAATTTATTCTCTTCACCACAAGTCTCCAGAGGATTCTTCCTTTGTCCAGGCCTCCTCTACCTCTCTACTTCTCCTGTTGCACAAGCTTGGGTGTGCATAGAAACTGAGGCCAAGTTGTGTCACTGGGCACATTTAGGCATCAACATCAA